AAAAAAATCAAAGAAATCAGTCCTTGTAATTTATCTAGCCTCTCCACCATTAATGGTAGATGATTCTAAAAATATGACCCAGAATGTGCCTAATTATGATTTATAAACTTCATTATATGTTTCTTTTAAAATTGTTTACCCTCTGATAATTATGAATTCATTATTTAAAATGCTCATGGAACTGCTCTTGACTTTTGTAATGTAGTAGGTAATCACAATTTTAAAAAGCAACCAACAATATTGTCAGAGTTAAACTTCAAATTACATATAAGGACAAACAAGCAAACAGTGGCTTAAAGTCTGTGCTGATTCTAACCTGAAACATTTAGAAACTGTAATATCAGCTCTGATAAAAGGGAAACTTAAAAAACAAAATCCTCCCCTACCCGAACACATTCCCACATACTCACAAATCAAATGGTTACTAGCTGAGAAGAACTATAATTACCTTGAAGTAACTTTGTATGCAAAATGGCTTAAGTAGAGATAAAATAAATGGTAGGCCTCTGTAATATTTTAAATACTCATACTAGCACCCTACGTTTACATCTGGTATTTTAATGAAGATCAGACTTGATTTTATTTCTGCTTAATCAGTGGAAATAAAGTAATATCAAAGGGAACTAAAATCATTTTTTCTAAGAAGTACATCATTTGTTGTTATTCTCAAATGATTGATCGTACTTCATCTTGATTATGTAATAAGGACTCACTACTAAACTAAGCACCTTCATCCATTAAAACTCTTAGTATAGGGGGAGTGGATAACTCAAGTGATAGAGTGCATGCTTAGCATGCATGAGGTCCTGGGTTCAATTCCCAGTAACTCCTCTAAAAATAAAGAAAGAAATAAGCATTACCTCCACCAACAACAAAGAAATGAAAATTTTTTTTAAAAACCTTAGTATAAACCTACCTATTCAAGATTTTAGAAATAAGATACAACTCTGCAAAGATTTTTTTTAAGTTCAAAGTGTAGTAAATTTATAATTTGCCTTTCATAGGAAGAAAAATCAAGTATGGCAACTTCTTAATTTTTTAAGCATTTGTGTCACATCTAGATCTCTCTATTCTGATCATTTTTTCCTGTTACCTCTATTACAAAATTATCACCACATTTCTTAATATGTCCAGGGCTTTCATTCACTAGCTTTAAAAACTTAAGGCACGTTTTAGCACAATTATGTCAAGTTATCACAATGATATCAGTTACACTAGATACAATTGTAATACTTATAACTTACGTATTATGTTCATAAGGTAGCACAGATTCCACTGAATCCAACCTATTTACAAATAGTGCTACAGATGACTAGAGAAGGAAAAAAAAATCATTAATAATACAAAGTAAAATAAGGTAGCACTTGCAAAATATATAATGAAGTAACTGAAAGGCAATGGGGTCCATTGCTCCCATCAATTTATAACTGTATAGTTAAAATTTTATAACTTAGCACAGTGTTATAAATTTATAACAGTACAGTTATAAATTTTAACATAGTATTGTTATAAATTCATAACATTTCATTTATCTAGCATCATCAGGGTCTCTGAACGCATACATTTTTCAGATACCTCAGCCGTTCTTAACCTTTTTTAATTATAGAATCACTTGAGAATATGATGAAAGCTATGGTCCCTCCCCCCAGAAAAGCACACATATTCACCAATTCTCTGTTCAGTTTTAAGAGGTTTCAGAGGGCTCCTAGGGTCCATGGAATTCAGGTTAAGAACTTGAAATAATTAAAGCTATCTGCAGAAGTGTTTTTCTTGCATTATTTTAACCATTTTTATAAGAAGTACTCTAAAATACACTTCACTGTTTCCCATCTTAAACAGAACATGATGATCACAATTTAACCTTCCTTGATGACTCAGGGTCATTTTGAACATCAATCATTGCACCTACTTTGACTCTGTGACATCTTCAGTATCAAATGAGATAAGAAGAGCTATTTGCCCCAAAACTGAATGCAGAAAGATAACTACTCACACCCCTGCTACCCACACCCCCTCACCCCTACCAATGAACATAAACTGGTTTGTAAATATTTTGTGTCTCATTATTTTAGGCTGTCAACTGTCATTATGCTTCCTCGCTTTTCTTCTCTACCCACCTCCCAAATCTACTATAGATCAAGCCCTCAATTTGTGGAATAATTACCTAGATTTGTTTAAAACTATGTCAAAAAGATCATAAAAAAAGAATGAAATTTTGCCATTTGCAACAATATGGTTGGACCTGGAGGATATTATGCTTAGTAAAATGATTTGGACAGAAAAAGACAAATACTGTATGATTTCACTCACATGTGGAATCTAAAAAATAAAACAAATGAATAAATGTAACAAAACAGAAACAGAGTCACAGATATGGAGAACAAACTAGTGGTTCCTAGAGGGGAGAGAGAAGGGGGAAAGGACAAGATAGGGGTACAGGATTAAGAGATACAAACTACTATGTGTAAAATAAATAAGCTGCAAGGATGTAATGTACAGCATAGGGAATATAGACAATATTTTATAATAACTATACATGGAGTATAAACTGTACAAATATTGAATCACTATGCTGCACACCTGCAACTAATATAATATTTCCATATTTCAATTTAAAATATTTGAACCATACTTCAATTTAAAAAAAAAGATGTCAAAAAGACTGCCTGAGAGCATGAACATTATGACACCTATTCTGGCTCTTCACAGGATGTCTTTGCTTACTTCCCTGGATCTCAGCTGTGCTCTTGACAATTCATCAGATAGGATTTTTTAAATCATTAAAACAGCAGAACTTGGGTAAGCCCTTTATTTTTTTGAAAATTCCATACACGAATTTTTAAAAACTTGAGCATCTGCTATCATCTTTACCATATGGTTAAATTTTTTTTAAAAGAAGAGGATGTAGAGAACTGTCATGTTTGGAAACATACAAATAACCTAATAAAAGCAATGCAAATTACAAACACAACACACAATTTTTCATCTACCAGGTTGACAAAGATCTAAAAATTTGATGGCATGTTTTCGTCAAGCTGTGGAGGAACAGACACTCTAACACACTGCTGGTGGGAGTGTAAATTAATACATAGAGAGCAATTTGGTATTCAAAATTAAGTGTCACTTGTTAGTTACCTGTTTGTTAAGATGATGGCTCAAAACACCACTATTTCTCACAGGAAAAAGCAAGCTGCCGGTTTTAAGAGCAACTGTGCTGCACCTAGAACTGGCCTTTAAAAACCCCAACTTTCAAGTTGGCTAAGTGTGTAGTCAAACCACACCCAGTGCTTGTTCTCGACTCTATAGTGCCTTTGTGGTGCCTTCTACCAGAACACCTCCACACACTTGATTAGGCAACTTGGAGTCAGAAAATAAGCCTTACTACTCATTAATATTCTTTGAATTGAATTACTTGCAAAAAAAAAAAAACTTTCTTGGGAGTGAGTTTACAGTTACAAAAACAAGGATGTCAAGGAAGGGAGTGAAGAAGTTATTGGGGGTTGCTGGACAGGCGCAAGAGGAATTGGGCCAGAAATCTCTGGCGAAAAAAAACCGATATGGTAATAGCTGCCGTTTATTGAAAACAGCATATGCCAGGTGTTTTTTGTCAGTGCTTTTCATACGGTGTCTTATTTTATTCTCACAAATCTGAGAGGTAAGTAGTATTATCTTGCTGTTTGTGGAATGGATCCAGGGGAAACCAAAGTGAATTAACAGAATTAAAGTGGTAAAAGTGTGAGACCACCACGGGAGTGAAGGGTGACAGAAACATGGTGGGGATGTATCTTAAAATGACCTTATTAGTGTGCGAGTCTTGAAAGGCAGATTGTAAACGTGGGACAACAGGGAGGGGAAAGAGGGAAGAGGTGGAGGATACTGAGTGGGAGAGGAAGCAGCCCCGAGGGGGGCGGGGAGGGGCTATGATGGAGGAGGAGCTAAGAAAGAGATGGAAGGCCGGCCAATAGGGAGAGGGGAGCGAGAGGAGCCGAGAGGAGCGGGAGGAGCTGAGAGGGAGTTGGCGGAACCAAGCAGGGGCGGGAAGGAGAGGAACCTAGATGAGGGAAGAGGCTGGGGCCGAGAGGGAGGGCGGAGCCGAGAGGAAAAAGGGGAAGGGAGGGGGCGGAGCTAAGAGAGAAGCCGAGACAGCGGAAAAGGAGCGGAGAGAAAAGGGTGAAAGCAGAAGCTGCGAGGGGGAGGAGGAGGAGCTGAGAGGAAAGTTAGAGGAACTGAGAAGGGGGAGAGCCGAGAGGGAGAGGGAGAGGATCAGGGAAAAAGGCCCGGATTGGCCAAGTGAGAGGCTCAGAGATTGAGACCCTGAGACACCCCCACAGAGGGGGCTTTGGCTTTCCGGGTCAGAGTCACAGAGCTCCCAACACTGGTCTGCACCGGTGTGTCCCATACTCCATCCCGAAGCCTTCCCCTAACATCTCACTTCCTCCCTCAAGTCCTCACCTTGCAGGTAGGAGTCCCTCGGTCTGCCTCGCAGAAGTTGACCGGAGCCAACCCGGGGAGGTAAAAAGGCGCGCAGCGAGCGGCCTGAAGCCCCAGGAGCAGCCCCAGCCCCAGCCGCCACCAGAGCCCGGGGAGGGCGGGCCAGAGGCGCCAGAGGTTGGTTCCTAGGTAGGAACCACGAGAACTCATTTTAAGAGCCGGTTCAGAGCTTGGGGACACACACCATGGGTGATATCGGAACCAATAGAGGGGAGAATCGGAAATGATAAGGAAAAATCGTGAACAGGAAAGAGATGAGACCCGCTGGTGGGACTAGAACTCTAAGGAAGGCCACTTGTTGGGGCGAGACACTGACTTGGAACCCGGTTGCTAGGAGGCCTGGCTGGGTTTGTGAGCGCGCGCAATACGCATGCGCGCGGGTCCTCGCCGCGCCTTCCACCCCCACTTCTCCGTCCCCCCTCCCCCTCCCAGCACCCCGAGCCCAACACTTTCCCGCGGTTCAGGCGGTTCCTCGAACACGGTCTTGAGAGATGTCTCCCGGAGCCCGGGGGGCGGGGCGAAGGGATGCCATCTGAGCATTCTCAGTCCCAACATCCCAAGGTCTCGCGTCCTCAGGATTTTACCTCTCTTAGTACCAAAGTGGCGGGGTTAAGGTCCCGGCCATCTTCAGGTCTTGCTGTGGGGGTGGGCAGAGTGGGAGGAGAGGGGGAATTCCTGGGTCTTGCTGCCCAGTACGGTGGCTATTAGGCGCTTGAAGTGCTGCGAGTCCGAAACTGTTACGTAAATGTAAAATGCACGCCAGGTTTCAAAGACTGCACGGCAAAAGGAATACAAAACTTCTCCATTGTTACAGTGATGACAAGTTGAAATGATGATATTTGGGGTCTGTTGCACTAAATAAAACATTAAAATTAATTCTACCTGTTTCTTTTTATTTTTTAAGTGTGTTACTAGAACATTTTAGATTACATATGTGTCTTGAGTTCTATTTCTCTTGAATGGCACAGGTCTGGGGAAGGAGGAAGAATGGAAAAAACTAAAGAGAGCGTGAGGGGAGGGGATTGCTCCTTGTGCTTACAATGCCAAGTACTTGTATTTGGACCTAGAGAGAATTGTAGGTAACTTAGGACAAAGACAGTAGAAGAGTTTGTTGTTTTTCCTCCTTGTGTCTCAAAAGCTTTGGAGAACAAGAGGTCATTTGTTTATGCTGAGACGTGCGCCGCTCGCCAAGGGCCTTTCTGTGCAAGTTCCCTCACTCCAAGAGGTCTGCGTCTTCCGCTGATTGGCAGGGGGGCTATTCAAGACCGAACAAAGGCAGCGAGCTGGCCATTAGCAGAGGCATGCCGAAATTTAGCGAGTTAACTTTTGGACTAGAGAGAGAGGAAAAGTTGTAGCAGAAATGAATGGGGAAAAATGTAGCAACAATCAGAATTAGGGGAGTTGTGAATGAAAAGATCGAACTTGACCAAGAGAACTGGAGAAGCCTCTGTAAAGATTTGAAGAACAGAATAACACGATCAGAAGGGGCACCACTTTTTGAGAAGAGGAACAGAAAAAGGGAGCTAGGAAGCGAGAGAATGGTCACGGTTGGAAGTAGCCAGAGGTTCAATAAAATTTTGTGTTTCACCACCGCTCTCTGGTCTGCCTTTGGATGAAAAGGAGTGTAAGTTAACATAAACAGGATGCCCCACCAGCCTCTCGGGCCCGGGCCCGGGTGTCTAGCGGCTGCGCTAGGACCCAGCGGTCGAGAACTGCTGCAGGACTGGGTGGCCTGCGGAGCGCCTGCGGCTGTGTGAGAGGACCTCGGGGTACCGAGCGCTCTCAGGGGGAGATGTACCACCCGGGTCACATCTACGGGACGCCGGGCCCCGCCCCTCCGCACAAGCCCAGAAGATGTGAGAAGCAGGGAAGAGCAGCGGTCAGCGTGTTAGTGGTCTCTTTTGCCCTCACCACCATCTTCATCCTCTACAACCCCAGTAAGTGCCAGTGAGGTCTTCCATTAAAGCTCCCTGCGGAGCCCTGTCTGTTAAGGTTAAGAAGTGAAGCATCACGGAAGGCTACGTCCCCTTTCTCAGCAACAAGACACAGCCCTCCTGGTGTCACCAGTGTGCGATTATCACCAGCTCCAGCCCCTGTTGGGCCCGGAGATACAGCATATTTTCAGTGCTGTGGGGGCTCTAGGAGTTTGTTTTCTGCCTTCTCACCCCCTATCCTAGAAGATGCAGAAGCCCGAGTGCAGCTTCGTGGGAGTCATCCACTAGACATGACTGCCTTTCCCCAACACCAAAACCTCCCCTCCCACCATGAGCCAATTTAACCACCTCTTACTGAAGAAGAGTAAGGCCTGTCTTTCACCTTTCGCCAGCTCTACACACCTCATATTGTATGCAAACAGTGAAAGTTCTGTTTCTTCCTTTCCAACATGTATGCATTTTGGCTCTTGTCTTGCCTTGTTGCACTGGCTGGGATTTCCAGTACAAAACTGAATAGAAGTGATGAGAGCGAACATCCTTGCCTTCTGTTCTCCATCTTAGGGGGAAAGCATTCAGTCTTTCACCCTTAAGTATGATATTAGCTATAGGCTTTTTATAGATGCCCTTTGCAGGTTCAAGAAGTTCCCTTCTCTTCCTAGTGTGGCTGAGAGCTTTTATCATGATTGGATATTGAATTTTATCCTTTTTTTTTGGAATCAGTTGATATGATTATGTGTCTCTTCTTAAGACTATTAACATGATGCATTATATTGCTTTTCAGATATTGAATCAGCCTTGTATTTCCAGAATAAACCCCACTTGGTTAGTTGCTGTGTCAAAAAAGCAACAACAAAATAAACAGGACTATATTGTAGTGTGGAAAGTAAAACTTGTAAGTCTTTTAAAATAGAAAATTCAAAGGAATTAATTTCTTAATGTAGGCTATGCCCCAAACTCCAGGGAGACGAGGGTTATCCCTCTTGTACCATTAGGGGCATTTTGGTAGAAAAGTAGAGAATACTTTATTTGTTTTATTTGCTTAATTTTCTCTCTCTCTCTCTACTGAAAGTAAGCATCTTGAGCACAAAATTCATGTCTTGCTTATTTTCAAATCCCTAGTGCAGATCCAGGCACTTAGTAAGAGCACGATACATAGATTCAGAATAAATGAAAAAATGGATGGATGAATGCCACATAACCTACACTGTCATAGGCATTTTATATGTTTTCCCTCATTGAGAAATCAAAAGAGGATGCAATCAAAAGATGAGTAACTGTAGATAACAAGGATGAGACCCCCACTATGTGGCAGTAGAGTTTGCAAAGTTTGTGCCCATCCATTATTTCATTTGACCATGTGACATAGGCAGGGTAGTTATTTAATGTGAAATAACTGAGACCAAGAGAAGATAATTTTGTTTGTCCAAGATCACACAGCTAATAGATGACGAAGTCCAGGCTAGAAAGCAGGTCTCCTGGTAGCTAATACAGCTCTTAAAAATAATGGTATTAAAAGGAAGTAGAAAATGTTTGGTAATAGAAAAGAAATAAACTCATTATATGTAGCTGTTAAGTTTCCAGCTACACCAACTAAGAATGTTCCAGAAACAAGTAAGTAAAGAATTGAGAATAACATAACTTATCTCAAGTTAGGAGCTATCTTTGACAGTGGCACACAGAGAGATTTAACCATGCAATTTGTGACATGTAATGTCACTCAGATAATTTTATAAAGAGAAAGAAACACAAGGGATGGCACTTTACAAAAGCAGATGCTTCAGGCCAAGTTAAAGAAATTGTATAAAACAGACTAATGCAACTACTAGGTCTTTAATAGTTGTTTCCCCACCACCACCACCACCACCACCATGTTTCTAATCATTCAGAGTCAAAGATATCAAGCTACAATTCCCATCCTCTTTCCAGTTCACTTCAATGTGTCCATACCAAAATTAAGTAGTCTAACAAAGGAATCCTGTGATCCAGTGGAATCATGCTCTATTTAAGCCACGTCTCTAAATCAGCATGTTGGAACATCAAAAAGGAAACCAATGTGCCATGGTAGGCCAGTGTGTCAGCTCCAGGGGCTACATCATATCTTTCATAGGGTGCTGACAGGACCAGAGTAGCTTACCCCTTGACTCACTTACTGAGTAGCTTACTGCCTTGACTCACTTTTTCCTTCCCAGTTCGCAAAAATCTCAATATGTTTCTCTCAAATTGATAGTGCAAATCTAATCATGTCACACTCCTTTATAAAATGCTTTGCTGGACAATTGAATACAATGCGGAGTCCTAGATCAGATCCTACCATAGAAAAAGGACGCTAGTGGGAAAACTGGTGAAATCCGAATAGTCTGTAGTGCAGTTAATAATATGCACCAACCTTGATTTCTTAGTTTGATCTTTCTACCGTGGTTATGTAAGATGTTCATGTTACGTGAAGCTCAGCAAATGGTATATGAGAACTTTCGGTACTTTTTGCAGCACTTCAGTAAATCTAAAATTATCTCCAAATAAAAAGTTGAAAAAATCTTCTACTGGCTCTTCTCTGCCCTAAGGGTTAAGCGCAAACTCTTTGCCTTTGCTCAGGAAGACCTGCATGACTAACATTTTGCCTCCACATAAACCTCTCCAGCATTAAACTTTAGAGCGGGAGAGGGAGTGAGAAGATAGGAGCTCCACTCCCGTAATCACTCCACTCTCTGATCCTCCTCCAGAGAACACTCAGTTCAATAAGAGGCCATTGTCTCTAGCCTCTGAACAAACTAATCCTTGCTGTTCCTTGGTCTAGTACGCTCTGCTGACCTTGCCACCCCATCTCCTACTTTTTGCTTGTATATTTCAGCTTGTTTCGGCTTGTATATATCTTGCCTGTATATTTCAGCTCTTAATTTGGAAATTTGCTTTCCTAGAAATCTTCGCTAACGACCCCCCTACTTCACATACGTGCCACACACACCCTCAACACACACGCAGCTGGATTAAGTACCCCTTGTATGTGTTCGTACTAGACGCTATGTATACATGTGATTTGTCACTTTCACACTGCATTATAGTTATGTCTGTCTCCCCTCTTAGTCAGTTGTTAGCCCTGGATCTTCTCCTTCTGTCCACACCTACCACTTTCACACAGCAAGGCAGCTGTTAAAATAGCTTGATTTCACAGGTTTAACACTTTAAGGGTTGTTTTCCATTTAAGTAATTATTCATGTAACTTACAT